CCCCTCACACCTGGGGAGCGTGGTGGTGCAGTGGGGAGGGGGCAGATCTCCGGGGGTGAGCAATGTCACCCCTTGTTGTGCCCCTAGGTTTTGCGGCAACGTGGCCCCCCCCACCTTCAACACCAACTCCAACCACCTGCGCGTCACCTTCATCTCCGACAGCAGCGTGGGTGCCCCAGGCTTCAGCGCCCACTACCGAGCCGTGGCTCCCAGTGAGAGTGAGTAACCCCGCCCCCGGGCACTGCCAAGACTCCTCACTGCAGGCAGGCAGTGGGTAGTGCCAGGGGTTATCCCTTAGCATCTGGGGCACTGGGGCAGGGGAAGGTGCCCAGTGGGACACCACCACCAGCCTGGCTGTCTGTGCCTGCACTGCAGAGAGCTGTGCCTGGGACGAGCACTTGTGCGACCAGGGGCTCTGCCTCCACTTGGGCTTCGTGTGCGATGGCTTCCACGACTGCACGGACAAGAGCGATGAGGCCAACTGCAGCCTGAAACACAAAGGTGGGCCAGCCCTCTGCCTGCAGCCCACAGCTCCCGTGCCACCCCACCACAGGGCACAGCGATGGGCAGGGGAAGCAGGAGCGAGGGAGTGGGAAGACGGAGTGAAGGGAGAGGGGCAGAGGATAAAGCTGCATTTGCGTGTGTCCTTCCAGAGTGTGGGGGACCGCTGACCACCTTGGAGGGGCACTTCTCCACCCCGAGCCATCCCCAGCCATACCCACACCAGCAGGTGAGGGAAGGGATGCTGGTGGGATGGAGCAGGGTGAGAGTGAGGGTGGGCAGAGAGGAAGGCTACCTCCCACCGCAGAGAGCTGGGGGTGCCCCTGCCCAGCTTCACAGGTGTCGCTGGCTGCCCCCTGCCCTGCAGCTGTGCCTCTGGCAGATCTCAGTGCCCGTGGGCCACGTCATCGACCTGCACTTCCACAACTTCAGCCTGGAGTCACATGAGGATTGCAGCTTCGACTTCGTGGAGGTGCACGACAGCGCAGGCACAGGGGCTGCCAGCCTCATGGGCAGGGACAGGCACACCCCTGATATCTCTGGCCCTGCTGCACCAGCCTGGCTGCACTTGGCTCCCATGGCTCAGCTGGGGAAACTGAGGCACAGGGAAGGTGTGTGAGGTGGAGCCACTGGAAGACAGAGTTTGGGGAGGTGCTGGTCAGCCCCACTGCCCACCCTGACCCCATCCCTTGCCCCACAATCCTGGTAGGTTCTGTGGCCACCAGCTGCCACCCACGCTGACCTCCTCACGTCATGTCATGACTGTCCTCTTCGTGGCAGACGAGGGAGTAGCAGACGATGGGTTCTTCGCCACCTACCAAGCCCATAATGCCACAGAGAGTAGGTAGCCAAGCAGGGGCACAGGCTGCCCAGGGGGCTTATGTGGTCACCATCCTTGGGGGTCTTCAAGGCCAGCCTGGATAAGGCCCTGGAAAAAACTGCTCTCACCCTATGGCTGACCCTTCTTGAAGCAGGAGGTTGGGCTATAGGTCCCTGGGGTCCCATCTCACCTGAGTTACTCTATAACCCTAGTGATCCTAGCCATGGGAATGCAGCCTGGAAGGGGTCACCTGCACACAAGCAGGATCCATCACCTGAGGGCTGCCCCCAAATAACCAAGGAAATTTGGGATCCCCCTAAGCTGGGCCAGTCATGGTCACCTATCAGCCATGGCTGCCAGGTGGCAGTGCTCTGCAACCACTCACCTGGATGTCTCCTGGCCAGTGACCAAGAGCGGAGACAGGATGATCAGCATGGGAACAGGCTGACTCCTAGCCATGGCCAGCCTGCTCTCTGTCTGTGCCCATGCCCTGCTGCACTGGTCCCTCTCACCTTACAGAGACCTGCAGCCCTGCAGAGTTCTCCTGTGGAAATGGCGAGTGCCAGGCGCCGGAGTCTGTGTGTGATGGCTGGCATGACTGCCCTGATGGCACCGACGAGCTGAACTGCACTGGGGTCTCCTACCCAGCCTTTGGTGAGTGCCACCCCTACATGCTCCACCCAGTACTAGACCCCCTGAGCCTACCCAGCCCGGGAGATATGCTGGCAGCTACCCCACACTAACATCTGCCCGAGGCACACCTGATGGGCATCACTGCTGCTATCAGAAGTGAAGCACCTTGCCCTGTGGCAGGGTCTGTCTGTGAGCCGGTGGAAGTGGAGATGTGCCTGGGGCTGGGCTACAATGCCACCTCCTTCCCCAATATCTGGCTGGCCATCCCGGACCAGGAGGGAGCCGCTGAGGTGCTGCAGGACTACCAGGTGAGCTGCCCAGGGGCTGCCCGTGGGGCTGCCCGCACCACACCACACTGAGCCACGCTCACCACCACTCTGCTGCAGACACTGATGGAGCTTGCCTGCTACCAGCACCTGCGCCTCCTCATCTGCAGCCTCTTCGTGCCCAAGTGCACCCCAGATGGGGGTGTACTGCAGCCCTGCCGAGCCGTGTGCCTGGCTGCCGAGCTGCGGTGCCAGCAGTCCCTTGGCCTCCTTGGCATCCTCTGGCCCATCAACTGCAACATCCTGCCCGACTCTAATGACCCCATAGAGTGCTTCCAACCGTGACCCGGTACAAGGAGAACGGGCTGAAGCAGCCTGCCCAGAGCTGCCCCCCTGCCCCAAATGTCTCTCCTATCGTCCCCCTGCTGCAAATACCCAGCTACTAGGATGGCCTCCATCAGCAGCACTCCATTGCCTGGCTTCTCACCTGCCCTGGGGTCAGCCCCTCTGCTCAGCACTCAGCTCGGTGCCTGGATGCCACGGGCTTGCCCACAGGACCAAGTCCCTAGAGAGCAGGTGTCCCTTCTCAGCCTTGCCTCAGAGAAAGGCTTGTGCTGGAGGGGCTGTGCCCACAGGTCAGAGCTGTGCTGGGGACACCACGCAAAGTCCCCCTGCCAAGCAGCAGGATGGTGACAAGAGGGTTGGGTGCTGCTTCCCCATCCTCAGCCAACCCCAGGCGTGTCGGCCAGAGCTGTGCATACTTCCCAGCCCATTTCTCTCTTTCAGCCTCTGCAGGCTGTGCACGGCCTCTTTCCCACAGCCCTCAGCCAGCTGCTAGCCTAGCAGGGGAAGGGTTAATGTTCCCCAAATGGAGCAAGGCTGGGCCAGGGTGAGCCAGGCTGCAGGCAGAAGAAGAGCTCAGGGCTAGCCATGTCCTGCAGCCCCAAAGCCAGCACAATAAACAGCATGAGCAGCTGTCAAACCTGATGGATCAGGTGGCTCCTTTGGGGAGGGTCTGTGTGTGTGTTCTGTCAGATCCAAGGGGAAACTGAGGCACAGGCCAAGGGAGGGAAGGCAGGGCTGCGGTGGGGGTTCTGCACAGGAATGGAGAGGCACAGGGGAGACTGCCTGTCTGAGGGGATAACGGGCTGCTGGCTCTACCCAAAATGGGCTGGGGGGCTTGCAGGGCCCTGGGGAGATGGATGGGTCTCAGATGGGGTCAGGCTGGAGGCCCCATGGTGCAGGGAGGGGATCCTGCCCCAGTCAGGGCTGTGGCCCTGCTGGCTGAGCCGGCCATGCTGGCTTCAGACCACCCTGATGGCCACAGGCCTGGCAACGTCCCGTAGCTGCAAACCAACTCCCAGCTGGCCAAAAACAACAGCCCCTTCACACCTTGGGAGAGAGGAGCCAGACGGCTTCCTGCCAGCACTCAGCCTGGCCCTGGGCATTCAGGGCACGAAGGCTCTGCCAGCAACGTCACCCACACTACTGAGGGCATTGACACACGGAGGAGAAAGCCAGCAGTGCTGGCGTGTTTCCCACTGCCCTCACCCACCCTAAGTGCATAGGAAAGTCCCCTGCCTAGCTGGGGTTACTGGGAGCAGGACCCACTCGGGTCAGCACCACTCTGCCTCTGCAGCCAGCACGGCACTGCTGTCGCTGCACAGCCACCCCTGCTCAGGGGCTCGAGCCCACCCGACTCCTTCACTCCCTGCATGTCCCAGCTGCTGCAAGCTGGCTGCAGAGCACAGGGACGCCCCTCAGCCACAGGACCACCTCACTGCTCGGCGTCTGACGGTGTCCCTTGGATGCACTCAGTGCTGGAACAAGTTAAAGGCAAGCTGGGAGTGCCTTTGAAAGCCCGGCACAGTCCCAGCTTTGCCACGTGCCCCGCAGTCCCCTAGGCCTAGCCCTGCTTCCCTGCTTCCTGGCATGGCCACAGTGCTGCTCTGCCTGCACCTCCACCTGCCTGCTGCTGCCTGGCATGTCCCTGCCTGCTCGGCACCAGACGCTGCCCACCAGCCCTACATCGGCACCCCCCTGCTGGCTCCTGCAGCTCCCCGCAGGTGCTCCCAGGGCTGGCACTGCCATGCTGTGTGTGCCCTGCTGTCCCCTTTGCCCCAGCCCTCCTTGCAGGGTCAGTCCAGAGGCTGCCAGTCAGGGCACCCATATACCCTGAGGGCTCCCTCTTCCTTCTCCTGCTCCAACCCTGCCTGCCTTTGCTGAGTTTCCCTCCCTTGGCCTTCCTCTTGTTCTGCTTTCATTCTGCTGCCTGTTTTCTCTCGTTTTCTGTCCCTCTGGCCTGCTGCCCGAGTGCCCAGACACATTCAGCCAGGATTTTGCAGCCCATGCCACCTCTCCCTTCACCAGGCTGTCTGCCTCACTCTCCCTTC